TACATACATACATACATACATACATACATACATACATACATACATACATACATACATACATACATACATACATACATACATACATACATACATACATACATACATACATACATACATACATACATACATACATACACACACACACATACATATATATATATATATATATATATATATATATATACACACACACACACACACACACACACACACACACACACACACACACACACACACACACAGTTAAAGTCAGAATTATTAGCCCCCCCGTTTATTTTTTTTTCCCCCCAATTTCTGTTTAACAGAGCAGATTTCTTCAACACATTTCTAATCATAATAGTTTTAATAACTCATCTCTAATAACTGATTTATATTCTCTTTGTCATGATGACAGTAAATAATATTAGACTAGATATTCTTCAAGACACATCTATACAGCTTAAAGTGACATTAAAAGGTTTCACTAGGTTGGCTTAACTAGGTATAATGATGGTTTGTTCTGTAGACTATCAAAAAAAATAGCTTAAAGGGGCTGATAATATTGACCTTAAAATGGTTTTTAAAAACTTAAAAGCTGCTTTTATTCTAGCCAAAATAAAACAAATAAGACTCTCCAGAAGAAAAAAAAAATATTCAGACATACTGTGGTTGTTAACTCAAATCTTCTTGTGTTTATGAATCCACACAGGTTTCACATTAAACTGCAGACCGCTGTCTCTTCACAAGGCCTTTCCTGGTGAATAAACACCGCCAAAATGGACACATGGACGTTTATGCCCAATTCCAACCTGTCCCTCCCTGACCGCCTGGTCAATGACAGTTTTTTCCCCGGGAACGAGTCTGACTTTGGTCTGGAGTTTTACCCTCCCAATGGCACTCACCCTGGCTTTGACCACACCAGTTCGGTGGTCATCACATTTGTGTACTTTGTAGTCTGCGCAGTGGGACTATGCGGGAACGCGCTGGTGATTTACGTCATCCTACGCTACGCCAAAATGAAGACGGTCACGAATATCTACATCTTAAACCTGGCCGTGGCGGATGTGCTGTGCATGCTGAGCTTGCCATTCATTGCCATACAGCTCTCGCTTCTCCATTGGCCGTTTGGATCTGCTATCTGCCGCGTCGTGCTAACCGTGGATTCAATGAACCAGTTCACCAGTATCTTCTTTCTGACGGTCATGAGCTTTGATCGATACCTTGCTGTAGTGCATCCGATCAAATCCACCAAATGGCGAAAGCCACGAATGGCCAAAACTATTAGTTTAGGCATGTGGAGTGTAGCTCTGCTGGTCAACCTACCGATTATGATCTACAGCGGGGTGAATGCCAAAAAAAATGAAGCCAGGACGTGCACCATGTTGTGGCCGGAGCCACAAAACACCTATTACACCGCTTTCATATTCTACACATTCTTCCTAGGGTTTTTCCTGCCGCTGATAGTCATTTCAATGTGCTACCTGCTTATTGTGATTAAAGTGAAGTCCTCCGGCATGCGAGTGGGATCCACTAAAAGAAAGCGATCCGAGCGGAAGGTCACCAGGATGGTGTCTATTGTCGTGGTGGTGTTTGTGCTTTGCTGGCTACCTTTTTACGTCTTCAACGTGACGTCTGTGACTGGAACCGTTCCTACAACGCCTGTGCTCAAGAGCACATTTGACTTCGTGGTGGTTTTGGGTTACGCCAACAGTTGCGCCAATCCCATCCTCTACGCATTCCTGTCGGACAACTTTAAGAAGAGTTTCCAGAATGTGTTGTGCCTGAAAAGAGTCGGGGGATTGGATGAGATCGACCGAAGCGACAGCCGACAGGACAGGACACGAATGGTCAACGATATCATGACGGAAACGCATAACGCCGCGCTGCTCAATGGAGATCTGCAGACGACTATCTGAGGAGATTCTGTCTTAGACATTAACAAATGACCTGTCAGAAACTCTTATCTGCAGGTGAGATTTATTGTATTTAAAGTAAATGTTTATTTGCGATGGCCACCCAAACCACATGAGCAATTCCATGCAAATGTCATCCCTGTGGTGTGAATTTGAAGAAGAGATAACCAGAGAGATCTTCAGGTATCTTCAAGGCAGAATGCTTTTAATGGGAGCTCGCTATAGCTGTGGCATTCATTGAAAATTCTCTCTATTACTGTAGCATGCACTCAGTTTAATACACAATTTAGTGGGCAGTGCTTATTAGTAGAAATAGAGCTGCACAATTAATCGTAAAAAGATCGCGATCTCTATTCGACCCCCTAGACCACAGGTGTCAAACTCAGTTCCTGGAGGGCCACAGCTCTGCACAATTTAGTTCCAACCCTAATTTAACACACCTGATCAAACTAATTGAGTCCTTCAGGCTTGTTTGAAACCTACAGGTAAGTGTGTGTGGGAGCAGGGTTGGAACTAAACTGTGCAGGGCTTCGGCCCTCCAGGAATGGAGTTTGACACCCCTGATGTAGACGATCTTAATCCAGCGTTTCTACGATTCTGCCAATCATATTTTCAAGTTCAGGAGAGAAGAAAAGGCGGCTGCACGAGTCTTTTCATTGTTTCACACACGTTGCTCATTGACATTGACACCTCTAAATGATGTTGATTGAGTCACATGCTGTATTTACAAGGTATAATTCACCTAAAAATGTCATTTTTGTTTTAATACAATGATGTTTTCGCGATTGGGAAATCACACGTGGCGTGAGCTGTTATCACAGAGAGGGCGCGCGCGCGCTCTACTTAGTGACAGGCGCACGCGCGTCTACTTTAGTGAACAGAACCTGCATATGTTGCGAGTAACAGGTAACACAGTTGTAAATAATATTGAGTTTGTGACACAGAGGGATCGTTTGGGAGCCGCGTGCGAAGTATGAACAACACTTAGCAGTCAAAATGAAACCGAAAGTGTGCACTTCATTTAAATGATCATATCACATTATAGAGTTATGATTACGACAAGCATTTGATATGTGTTCTTTCATAGTGAACCCACAGTTGTGCATGAAAATAAATGTTTACAATGTCACTATAACTACTCCAGCATATATATTGTTGAATATAATCTGATAATGACAAATGTTTGAATTTACCAGTGAGTTGTCTAATATGACAGATTGCAAGCATATATCTCAAACATCATAATTCAACATCAGAATCATTATAAGTAGAATAGAATTATTTATAGAAACCAGTAGACCTACACATAATATTATTAATCGATGCTGTGCCATATGTTTGTTTTTACCATACCTTTATTTTACATCTACAGAATGGTGAGAAAATCGTGATCTTTATTTTAAGCAACAAACGAAAAAAAAAATGCGAGAGTTTTAGCCAGAATCGTGCAGCTCTAAGTAGAAAGTAAAAATGCCTTTACAGGTTTTAGTTCACAAATCTTGTGATCAAATCCATCCAGCTTGGAGGTCACCCAACCAACTTGGAGGTCTCAGTGATACCTACTTGCAAATGCTAGCGGTAAATGGACAAATTTAATATTTCAGTACCGACAGGTACCGAATTCCAGTATCGTAACAACCCTAATATGTTACAGATTGATATTTTTCTGATCCCCAGTGGTAGAGGTGTCACAATACCACGATACTATACCAGCTGAAGTATCAAAATACCGAATAGTATCGCACTACTGTAGACACAAATCTACAAAATAAAGCAAACGGTCACAAATACTTTATTTTAAAATGTTACAATACTTGAATTTAATTCATAATTCCCTTATTATTGAGAAATTATATGTACTTATTTGTACAGATGTTGTGTTTTATTTGTATATACTGTGACTCTTCTGTTCCACATGCAACATTATCTATTAGAACACAATGATCATACTACCGTTTCCAAACTACAGAGGCAACAGCAGTATTTCAGAGCCATAGTATTGCCTAAACCTTGCAACCCTACTCTGTGGCAAGTTGTTGTGGAAAATATAAACAGATCTTTCAATATATCATTAACATATGCTCTCTCTGAGTTAATATTTTGAGATTTTACCTCAAATGTCACATCCAGAACGCTGGAATTGCTCATGTCAGTTTGGGTTTCTGATCGGTCCATTGTAAGCGATGAGGATCCGAATGTCATTTACTGTAAATAACTCTTAATTGGTGTCAATATTGTGTGTTTATTCATTCACTTCAGTGCCAAACTTCTCTTTAGTGCCAATTCAAGATCATGGCCCTCATTAGGTAAACATTATTTTAGTCTCAAGCCTTCTGTTGAAAAAAAACAAGGCCAAGATATGCTTGTTAAAAGCCTCTTAATATTATTATTCAAGGCTTTTGTGTATGCGTGTGTGTGATGTTGAATGCAAGATTAGTGAGTGATACTTTTGACAGGATATTTTTAAACGGGCATCAATGAATATTCCTGAAAGTAAAAAAAAAAAAATAGATGTACATTTCTGTGGCCTATTTATTTGCTGTTTATTTAGTGAACGATGGTCGCCGTCTGCTTATATCTTGTTTACATTTAAGAATCTTCCCTCGTATTATTTCTCCTCGGGTTCCCAGTAGAGTTTTATTTTGGTAGAGCAAACATACTTGACATAGTGTTCAGTGCAGTGGGGGAGGAGAGAAAGTTGAGCTCTGTTACAAAACTTAGCAAAGCTGCCTAATCAACATTTTCCAGGCATTAAAAATGGTGTAGGCTGCCTCATTTTGGCCAGATATCCATTTACACAGCGTCACATGATAAAACACGATTCATGCACTGAGAAAAAAAAAAGATATTAAATTTAAGTATGATATAAATTCAATATTTTATGCAGATATGTGTGTGTTTTTGTGCTTTTTAAAAGATTGTTACCTTAATAACATTATAAATCTGAGTTCTATAGGAATCAATTGTGAGTTGTGCTTTTTAGATAGTTTTTTTTTTTTTTTAATCAATAGCATGTCCCAATAGGCTATCATTAATAGTTAATCCGCCTTTCCACTGCACACGACAAGCGACAGACCGGAAGTCATTCATTTCCAATGGAGAGCAGTCTGTGGAGTTCCCATTCAGATGCGATTTGAGCTGCGGATATGTTGAAATATTTGAACTCCTGCGACGAGACCGTCTGCGATCGCATGTGATGTATTCCAGTGATGTCCAAGCAGGTCTGTGTGCACGAAATAAGAAATAGTCTGGGTCTTTATCCTATTTTTTGAAAAAACTGAGAATAAAGGCACTTGCTTTTAGGCACGGGCCTTTATTTCGGACACTGCAAGAATCAGCTTCTCTCCTATGGGGCACGACATCACTGAAAAGTCCATGTGACTGCCACAAGGGGGCGTTTTCCAGAAGTCGTGTTCGAATGTGTGCAGTGGAAAGGCGGCTATAATGCATTGCTGGACGTGAAATAAAAAAATAAGACTATTATATTTTTTAAGCATTATTGCGAATGTTAGGTTAAAATCCAATCAAATTGCTTATGTTCATTATGGAAATTTGCTGCTGCCAAGGACTGTAAAAATACCATTTTAAGATGTTTTATCTTAATTTTGTCACACAATTGAGTCAACATCTTGTTATCGTGACTTTTTCCATTTAGAATTGCAAAAGTTAAAATACTACGCAATTTTAACCCCAAAATTTCGATTTTATTTCTGGTAATTGCAAGTTTTTGAATTTTCTTGCAAGAATTTTATTTTTTCGTCAGACACACTGGAAGATCTAAGACGCAAGAAAAAATAAATAAACACAGCAATCACTGATATTTCTGTGCAACTGCAACAAGGGAGCGTATCACGACATTGGAAAGGCAGCTTTAATGCATTACTAATGAACAAAAAAAAAAAGAAGTAATATATTTTTTATAAGCATCGTTGCGAATGTTCAACAATCTCACGGCAATTCGTAACTTTTTCATTTAGTGGCTAATTCATATGAATTCGTACGATCTAATTCGTACAATTTAGTACGATTTGATTATCCCCCAATGATGGTTGGGGTTAGGGTTGGGTCAGGTGCCACGCCTCCTTTTTAAAATCGTACCAATTCGTACGACTGAACTCGTACAAATTAGCCACTAAACTGGCAAAACGTAAAATACTTACGTTTTCTCGTGAGATCAGGCTGGAATGTTAGATTAAAATCCAATCAAATTGTTTATTATTTGTTCATGTTAGTTCATTATGGAAACTTGTTGCTGCCAAGGACTGTAAAAAAAAAAAAGAAAAAAAAGAAAATTCTAGGACTTTTAATCTTAATATTTCACAATTTGTAGTTAAAAATAACACATTTTTAAGTTAGCATCTCTTTTTTTCACCTCAAAATTTCAAGATTAATAATATTACGCAATTTGAACCCCAAAGTTGATACTTTATGGTAATTGCACATTTATTTTTTGTTTTCAGAAAACTGAGTCAAAAATTTGAGATAAAAAGCTGCAATCAACTTTTTTTTTTACTCAAATGGAAGGAACAAGCTTCAATAGTTTATTGCGTTTTACAAAGCTTCAGATAAAAATATAATATATATATATATATATATATATATATATATATATATATATATATATATATATATATATATATATATATATATATATATATATATATATATATATATATATATATATATATATATATATATATATATATATATATATATATATATATATATATATATATATATATATATATATATATATATATATATATATATATATATATATATATATATATATATATATATATATATATATATATATATATATATATATATATATATATATATATATATATATATATATATCTATATATATATATCTATATATATATATATATATATATATATATATATATATATATATATATATATATATATATATATATATATACAGTTAAAGTCAGAATTATATTCTATACAGCTTAAAGTGACAATTAAAGTCTTAAGTAAGTAAATTAATTAGGTTAACTAGGCAGGTTAGGGTAATTAGGCAAATTATTGTATAATGATGATTTGTTCTGTAGATTATCGAAAAAAGCTTAAAGGGGCTAATAATTTTGACCTTAAAATGTTTTTTTTTTTTTTACGATAAAAACTGCTTTTATTCTAGCAGAAATAAAACAAATACATTTTTTTCCAGAAGAAAAAATGTTATCAGACATAACGTAAATATTCTCTTGCTTTGTTAAACATCATTTGAAAAAAAAATTATAAGGGGGGTTAGTAATTCTGATTTCAACTGTATATATATTAAGATAAGCTCAAAATTATTCATACCCCTGGCAATTCAGTGTCTAAGCCGAATG